AATGATGAAGAGAGATCCCATGTACCTTTACCCCGGGCAAAAGAGTGAGACTCTGTCTCAAAAAAAAAAAAAAAAAAAAATTTCTGACTCTTGTCCAAATAGCAATCATTTCTATTCCACAGAGTGCCCCAACGGTAGTACAATCCAATACCTCTTCATTCTGCCACTCCAACCAATCCCAGATTAGTAAGAGTTCATTTAATCAAACTAAACAAATAAAATTCTTGGATTTGCTCTTAAACCATTTACAGTGGCCCAAAGAAACAAAACACAGTTATCTACCGGCAGGAGTTGTTTTTTCTTTTATCTATTGTTTATTTAATTTGTAAAGAACATAATTATTTTAAAACCATATAATGAAGGAGGGAAATCCTACTCTAAAAGAAAGAAACCAGATTTGTATTTTTTTACTTTAAAAAGAGGAGTAAAGTTTTGTTTTGTGTTCAATTATTAAAGTAGACCTTACCTTGATTTTCTGACATCAAGTCAGCTTTCTAGCCCTCTTTGTGGATCTGTACCCCAGAGCTTGAGGACAGCATTCTGAGACAGAAAAGATTACTCATGCCCCGAGAGCACATACTAAGACTAGGAACCAAACCAGATCTCTTTGAATCAGTCTTCATTGTCTCTCTGTAATTTACAATCAGCAGGTCATAAAGGCTCACAAGAACCTTCCCTGGGGCTTGTTGTTTTTGGTTTTTGGGGTCATTTGTACTTATTTTTATGAATTCCATCTTGTGCATCTTAGTGATTTAGAGCAATGGCTTGGCACCCAAGATACAGTCTCAACTCCATTACTTCCTAGTTGGGTGTTCTGGGTATGTCACATAACCTTTTCTGAACCACAGTTTCTTCACCTGCAAATGAAGCTAACAATAGTACCTACCACTTCAGATAATTATTGTGAGAATTAAATAAGATAATCTAAAAGATTTGGCCCTGAAAAAGAGAAAGCCCTAAGAGGAAGAAATCAGCCTGGCTCTTTTTTTGAGGTGGCAGGCATGGGGTGTGGAATGTGGGGATCCAGTCTACCCTAGCTAGCCTGCACGAGGAAACTTTTTAAGTAGGTTCCTTGGTGAGAGCTGTCCCTCTATCTCATTTTGCTTGTTGATGCCCTTAAATAATTTATGGGAAAAAAGAAGAAAATCTCATAGAGGAAAGATTTAGATATTGTCTAGTTCAACCTCCAACTCTATTGACAATTTCACTGACTGAAGTCCCTTACCTGTTCATATACCTCCTCTGCCAAGAAGCTCATTGCCTACCAAGGCAGCCCATTTCATTCTTGGTTAGCAGTCCCTGTGAGAAACTTTTTCTTCCCAGTGAGGTAAAACTGCCTCCCATTGACTCTCATCTTTGCTTTCTGTCTCACCCTGATCAACTGTGCTAGAGGGCCATATAACAGGCTACTTGCCTCCACCCTTGAGTCTTGGAGACAACGAGCTTGTACCCTGTGTCTTCTCTTCTCCAAGCTGTGGTCCAGAGTCTTTAGGGTAGAGAGGGACTGTCACCTCCCCGGTTAGACCTCAACTAATATGACCTAACCTCTAGTCACATAGTCTCACATTAACAAGAAGCTCCACCCAGGGAGTTTTTACACTGGCTGCTGCTAAGCAACATCCCATTCTCTGCTTGCACTGGTGCGGCTTAAACACAGAATTTTATAGGTCAGAATTATGGGCTCATAAAACACAAAAGTTTAGGGTTATGCTATAACAAATGCTTTAGGAAAAAAAAAAAAGATAAGTTTAGGGTTACTCTTGGCTTTAGGCAAAGTCTGACCCAGCAACTCAAATGATGTCACTAAGGACCCTATTCCCACTGCTGTTGTCTTGAGGCTCTATCCCTAGACCCCCGTATCTCCAGATTGTCCCCTCAGAGTCACAAACAGCTATCACACTTCCCAACCTTGTCCCCATACCCCGCTCCCAGCTGCGAGCTAAGGGAGTGAGCAAGAGAGGAAGCTTCTCACGGCCTGCCTCTAACACATGGGCCTAGCTATTTTTGGGTGCTGCCCTGGCATTTATAGCCAGGCCACGTTTTTCTTGTATTGAACATAAACCATTTCACATAATATCAACATCAGAGAAGGCCACTCAGTGACCCTGAAGGATCAAGACAAAAACAATATCACTCTGCGATCATGTCTAACTCAGACAAAAACAAGAAGATTGTTCAAACCACAAAATGGCCAAATACCCCCATCCTTCCTAATATAAGTGGCTGCTGCTTCTTTACCAATTATAGCATTAGTCTCCCTTCTACCTTATAGATAACAATTAAGACACCTAATCATAAAATTAGTCAAGTGCTCAGATGACCTAGATTTAGAGCTGAGCTGCCAGGTGCAGGAATAGCCAATTAAAACAACAACAGGCCAAAATAGGAATAACAGTGAAGGCTTCAATCACTTACTGTGATTGGATAAGCAAGAGTCTAAACCTGGAGATAGCACTGACACATACACAAATCCCCCTTCCATTTACCTCTATGGAATGGCGGTAAGGTACTAAGAGTGGGAAAGTTTCATGATAAGGAGACCTCCAAATGAAGGCACCTGGACTAGAAATGCAGCTATGCAAAAGTGCATGGGGTGGAGGGACACACCAAGTCCCTGACTGCAATCCCTTCAGAGACTGCAATGTACTGGCTGTGCCCCCAGTCCGATGTGATGCCTGCCAGGTAAAGCTTTCATGATTGCCTATAGTCAGGCCCGAAAAATTTAACCAGGAGTTAGACTCCTCAGAATTATCCCAATTTCCCGACAGCAAAGCACCATTTTCCCCAAATCACCTAAGAAATCCCAAATCCTATAACAAATAAGTTAGAATAACACTCTCTTACTGAAACATTCCCCAGTTTCTCATCATGAAACTACAGGAGAGTTCCAGTGGTTCTGGTTGGAGCGCATCAATAGCCCCCTGACACACAGTAACAGGATGGTCCATAAATATCAACTATATGAATATATGTAGAGATAATGCAGGCAGTGTCCCAATGAAGGGAGGACGGCCCCCTGAACTCGCCAAGTTCTTGGCTTTGTGCTGGACAGAATTCAAGAGCAAACCAACTATCGACAGAAAGTTCGAGAGACAGACAAAACATCCTACTCCACAAACAGAATAGGAGTTTCCCATTCTGAGCAGGAAGGGGACCCCTTATGGGGCAATGGTAACATTTTTTTTTTTATTTCAGCATATTATTGGGGTACAGATGTTTAGGTTACGTATGTTGCCCTTGCCCACCCCTCCCCCCCTAACATTTTTAAATGTTCAAAAACTCCGTTAGGAACTATATGTGACCAGCATTGTCTTGTAGTTCAGCCATAAAGGTTAATCATAAACTGCTGTCATAGAAAGGTAAGTGCAGTCAGCTGAGACTCGAGTGGGCTGCAGTCGGGGCTTGTTCTCTCCCAGGGCCCGGCGGCAAGAGGGGAGGATTGGCCATGTCGTCCTTGATCGGAAGCATGATCAGCACCGAGAAAGCCGCGGGGCCCACTGGCCCCTACAGTCAAGCTGTATTAGTTGACAGAACCGTTTACATTTCAGGACAGATGGGCCTGGACCCGTCAAGTGGACAGCTTATGTCAGGAGGAGTAGAAAAAGAAGCTAAACAAGCTCTTAAAAATATGGGTGAAATTCTAGGGCCTGGTGCGGTGGCTCATGCTTATAATCCCAGCTCTTGGGGAGGCCAAGGTGGGAGGATCGCTTGAGGCCAGGAGTTCTAGGCCAGCCTGGGCAACATAATGAGATGACCCCCAACCTTACAAAAAATTGGCCGGGCGCGGTGGCTCACGCCTGTAATCCTAGCTCTCTGGGAGGCTGAGGCGGGCAGATTGGTTTGAGCTCAGGAGTTTGAAACCAGCCTGAGCAAGAGCGAGACCCCGTCTCTACTAAAAATAGAAAGAAATGAATTGGACAACCAAAAATATTAGAAAAAAAAAATTAGCTGGGCATGGTGGCGCATGCCTGTAGTCCCAGCTGCTCGGGAGGCTGAGGCAGGAGGATCGCTTGAGCCCAGGAGTTTCAGGTTGCTGTGAGCTAGGATGACGCCACGGCACTCTAGCCCAGGCAACACAGCGAGACTCTGTCTCAAAAAAAAAAAAAAAAAATATGGGTGAAATTCTGAAAGCTGCAGGCTGTGACTTCACTAACGTGGTAAAAACAACCGTTTTGCTGGCTGACATAAATGACTTCAATACTGTCAATGACATCTACAAACAGTATTTCAAGAGCAATTTTCCTGCAAGAGCTGCTTACTAGGTTGCTGCTTTGCCCAAAGGAGGCAGAATTGAAATTGAAGCAATAGCTGTCCGGGGACCTTTTACAGGACCATTACTATAAGTGGGCCTAGTGTTTAGTCTGGAATTTTTAACATCTTAATTTTTATAGTTGATATAATATCTTAATTAACCTCTTAATTTTTATAATTGATGAAAGCATAAGCTTGACTAAAATCTGATGTTATCATGGAAATATCATATAATAGGGGTAGTTGAACATGAATTGAAGATTAGATAATGTATCTACTTGCTGGTGTGTAAATTACACTTATGTATACCCATATGACTGAATGTAGGAAAGAGATACTCATTACATAGTTACTCAAATAAATAAAAGTAAAGGGTAGTTATTGTAAAGTTATTGTTTCTGAGAAATAATCAAAAGCACACCTAATCAGACTAATGATGTGAAATAGTCTCATGTCAGATCTGTGATTCTTTTAGTTGTATAAAATTAAAGTATTTAAATATGAATGGTAGAAGTCTAGGAGAAGGAAGTGGACCAAAATTTTATATAGATTAATGTTTTTCTAATGGAAATAAAATAAACATGCATATTTCAAAAAAAAATAAAGAAAAGTAAGTGCAAACAGTTTGTAAGGTATCTGGCTTAGTAATTCATCCATCCTCAGGTGGTCCCAGGCTGGCAACATGCTAGTGACTTCCTTGTTCAGGGTGGTTAGGGTCTGGTATCAGCCAAAATGGCTGCATTAAGGCTCTCATGACCTTTCTTTTCTGCCTTATTCCTACATTAGTTACATTCCTCACAGCCCTGTCCAGCACACTCACTCCCTACTCTGCCTGCATTAGCTGTACTGGCCTTCCAATTTTCCAACAAGATCTGCCTCCTCCAACAACAAGGCATTGACAAATTTTCCTCTATCTGCTGATAAACTAAATATGCAAAGGGCCAGATCATGTATATAAGTGTGTATATCCATGTATGTATGTGTACAGACACACACACACACACACACACACACACACACACACATAAACTCTGACCCACAATCTGCAGCAACCTGCCTAGGAAACCAACCCATTATCTACAGTAACCAGTCTGGGAAGACAGCCTGCTACAAGTTAGACCTACAGGAAGTCAGACTGCTATCTTTAGCAAACAATTCAGGAAGCCAAGCAATAACCTCTGTACACAAAATGTCCAGGACTTAATTAACAACTGGTACTTTTCCTAATTTTTGTCCCACTTCCAACTCAAGACCAACCAGAGAGCCAAATGTGTACGCCTAACCAATGACATAGAGGTCCCCCTCCTAGTTAGCCTGCCTACAGCTTCACCATGCCAACAGCTTCCAATCAGGGAATATCTGAAGCCTTCTCTTTTTCCACTATAAATCTTTCCCACTCTTCTGCCTGCCTTTGATTTCTGCCAAAATATAAGTGGTGGTGGCTTACTCCCTTCCTCTAGCAAGTTCAGAATAAATAGACTTTGCTCATTCTCAGTCAGCCTTCACTTATTTTCACACTGCTAGGCTTTTTCTCTCCCTGAAACCTTTCCTTAATATTACTTATCACAGTTAAGGTTTAAAATGTCTCTGTGTCCACTAGACTGTAAGCACTATGAGAAAAGAAGCTCACTACTATAACTCCCAATGCCTACCCCAGTACCTGGCACATAGTAGAAAACTGATAAATATTAGTTGGATGCCTGAATTCATTAAAGTTTAAAGCAAATGAAGCTTTAGATTATGGCCAAGGAAAAAAGAACTAAGAAAGAACTAAGAACTAAGACAGAAGAAATTCTATTGTAGTAGACCTTAAAAAATAGGAAACAGATAAAATGAATGGGCCAAGCTATGTTTCTCACCTGGAATGCTTCTTAAAATGTCAATTTCTGAACCCCACGCCCAATCGACAGAAATAGAAGCTCCGGAGGAAAGAGGTACAGGACCTAGGACTGTGCATTTTAAATAATTTCTTCCAGATGATTCTTATACATACTAACATTTGAGAATAAATGAGCTGCTTAAAGGGATAGAAAACATAGAGACAACTTTTGCAGTTAGCGGCATAAGGTTGACTTAAAAGAAGCCACCATCACCAATAAACAGCCACATCAGCAATGTGCCACATCATCAATAAACTCTTAGCAGTGTTTTGTTCTCACAACCCTCAAATAACTCCTACAGCCAACAACCAATGTAAGAAATATTGAAACAATTTTTCCATCATAAACTAGGGCACCAGAAATAGTTCAGTACCCCTTCTTTCTGGGAAGAAGTTAGATAAAAAGGTTTTTATAGTTTTAGAAGTGCAACTTTCCAAAAATTAAGCGTTTTTTTCAGAATAACTTCATCAACCAAATATAGCTTATTCTCAGGTGTTCCATATCTCACTGAAACATTCAAAAACCCCTGGTGCGGCCGGGCGTGGTGGCTCACGCCTGTAATCCTAGCACTCTGGGAGGCCGAGGCCGGCGGATCGTTCTGAGCTCAGGAGTTCGAGACCAGCCTGAGCAAGAGCGAGACCCCATCTCTACCAAAAAATGGAAAGAAATTAATTGGACAGCTAAAAACATATGTAGAAAAAATTAGCCAGGCATGGTGGCGCGTGCCTGTGGTCCCGGCTACTCGGGAGGCTGAGACAGTAGGATTGCTTGAGCCCAGGAGTTTGAGGTTGCTGTGAGCTAGGCTGACGCCACGGCACTCGCCCCAGGCAAGAGAGTGAGACTCTGTCTCAAATAAAATAAAATAAAATAAAAGCCCTGGTGCAATTTCTGATTTATAATCATTAAAAATCTCCAAATCTCATTAGTAATTCCTTTAAATCAGATTAGATTTGAAGTAGTGGAAGGCCCAGCATGATGGCTCATGCCTATAATCCTAACTTTCTGGGACCTGAGGTGGGAGGCTCACTTGAGCTCCTTGAGCTCAGGAGTTCAAGACTAGCCTGAGCAAAAGGGAGACCCCCATCTCTAAAAAAACAAAGATTTGAAGTAGCAGAAAACTATCCTTATAAGCCTTTACTTAATTTACTTTCCTCTCTCCTGAATACTCATTGCTGTGTAATTAAAATTTCAGAATCATTTGTACACTTTATTACTTACCTCCTTTTTTGGAAAATATTATTATTTCCCAGGACAACCTTCCTTCTATTCATCTATTCCTCTCCTTTCTTCCTTGATTCATATGTAGTCCTGACACGTACTTACAGAGTCCAGTGTTAAGCATTGTTCCATTGGTGGTTGGTCAGCAAGGTAATCACCTGTTCTTTTCTCCAGAAAAATAGGGGGTAATTGCTAATAATTAAGTTTAAAAAAAAAAAGTATTTGTAAGAAAATCCAGAAATGAAGTCACTGCTTACTTTTTCAAATTTGTTCTTAATTATCACCAAAATGTTGGGGGACGAGAGAATTTCTCTATATTTCTTCTGTTTTTCCCAAAATCGTTGAAAAAATTTTAACCAAGTAACTTTCCAGTTTGACTGCAGCCAGGTGGTGTCTTTCCAAGTCTCCCAACTACTTAGTTACAATTCCTAAGCACTAATTCCTTACTTCTTAAGCAAAGGACTATCCTCACTTTATCTTCAATTAAGAGAAAACATCCTGGTTTGAAATCAATTCCTTGCAAGCTAAAGGCAGTGCTTTAAAAAAAAAAAAAAAGCTTTAAAAATAAACATAAACGCTAGAAAGTAAAGGTCAATTGTATTTGTTTAGGAAAAAACAGATATAATACTTCCATTGTTCCTTGTACTTTGTGACCTAGCCCTAGTTACTCAACCCATTCTTGCCTGTTTCTTCACCTGTAAAATGGAGATAATAATTTTATCTACCTCACAAGATTAACCTAACATTAATACTGGCAATTTCTGAGTGTTGGCATTAGCTTTATCCTTTGCACTATTCGTGTTTAAGCAAAGAGATTTTTTCTTCAAAAAAAAGAGAGAGAGAGAGAAAAGTGCTGGCTACCCTAGGAGTAATATTCTTTTCAAATAAACATACAGTGATCTTTGAAGTAGCCAAGCACAAGAAATTCCTGTGGAAAATTAATTTTTCGTTCATCCGGCATCAGATAAATCTGGGTTGAAATTGGCTCTTCCTTTTTGGGAGAAATTCGCATTCCTAGTACTTATTTCCTCTTTACGTGGATTTCCTCCCCTGCGAAACTAGAATATTACCACCCACTTCACAGAGTTGTTCTAAGAATTAAATGAGGAAATGTATGTAACGTGTTTACCAATGGTTTAAGAATTTAGAGTTCCAAGAATAATTACAGTAAAATTGTTCCATTAATTCAAAAAACATTTAAGGATCCCTCACTACTAGGGATGCATAAAAGTTAATGTTTACCCGAGCTTTAGAACAGGGTAAAAGATCGAGAAACACTTGAGACAGAGCCATTTGCGCCACGAATTTATCTCGCCGAGGCTTTATTACACCACCCAGAGCCCTAACCTTGGGCAAGCAGTAGTTTGCGCATGCGCAGTTACGTTTCCTAAACCCGGCCGCCTCCTCTGCTCCTCGCCAAAGGTGCCCACTTGTGCGCCTGCGCCGTGACCTTGACTAGGCGCATGCGCTGGGAGGGATTGGCTGGATTGAAAGGCATGGCGTGGGTACCCGCAGAGTCTGCTGTGGAAGAGTTGATGCCCCGGCTGCTGCCGGTGGAACCCTGCGACTTGACGGAAGCTTTCGATCCCTCGGTACCCCCGAGGACACCTCAGGAATACCTGAGGCGGGTCCAGTGAGTGATTTGGCCCTGTGCGGGTGGGCGGGTCGTACGCCCTGCCCCTGGGCACAGCGTCTGGTGCCCTGCTCTACCCCTGTGCGATAAATCCCCGCCTCTATTCCTGTGCCATCCTGCTCGATCTGCTCGAGATCCCTGGATTACATCCTAACGTGGGCTAGTTTCTTTTGAACTTGATTGCACGTATCAAGATGTGTGCTTGTAGATTTCTTTGCTTTAAACCCAGATAATTTCAGAAATATATTGTTTAGGATTTCAATTGAAAGTCTGAATTTTTTTCTGATTTCACAACTGTAGAAATGGATTGCTTGTTTTACACCCGAGCAAAACGCAATAGTAATTAAGTTTGCATTTATTACTTATTTATAGGATCGAAGCAGCTCAATGTCCAGATGTTGTGGTAGCTCAAATTGACCCAAAGAAGTTGAAAAGGAAGCAAAGTGTGAATATTTCTGTGAGTTTTATTAACCGTCCAGAGACCTACCCCTCCCCCAAAATTAAAAGACTAAGGCTCTTCCTTTAGTATCCGACAGTGTCAGTTATGATGTAGGTAAAATTTGACAACTCCCCAAAATTATCCATTCGTTTGTACTTTTCCTCCAGAAGGACATTTAGCATTTACTGTCAATGAAGAGGCTTTCCATAACTCTAGCATTTGCGGAGATGTGCCCATCTTACTTTGAGACATAATCCAAACTTAAAGATGTCTTTAGGTTACTTAATGCTATCCTTTATTTTTTAAGGAAAGTCCTTCTGGTTCTGTCTTCATAATTATTGTCAGACTGGTGTTTAGTCTAATTTTGTGTACTTTGCATGTTTTGAATTTGACTAAGTTTCCTTGTTTTTGTTTTTGTTTTTTTTTTTAAGAATAGAAGCCTAAATGTCATACTTTTCTAGCTGCTTGCACACTGGGGACACTTATTCATTTATTTATCCAGCACTTTTTTCCGGCGGGAGTGCTACTCATCAGTCAACTTAAAGTAGCTGGGACTACAGATACCTGCTACCACGCCTGGCTAATTTTTAAATTTTATTTATTTGTTTTTAGAGATGAGGTCTTGCTATGTTGCCCAAGCTGGTCTTGAACTCCTGGCCTCAAGCTATCTTCCTGCCTCAGCTTCTCAAAGTGCTGGGATTATAGGCATGAGCCACCAAGCCTGGCTTAAGCACATTTTTTATTAAGCAACTAGGTTGTGCCAGGCACTGGAAATAAAACAGAGGATAAGACAGAAAAGATCCTTACCCTTGTAGAATTCACACACTCCTGAGGAAGACAGTAAATAAGCAAACAAATATATATTGTGACTATTGCCAAAAAGAAAATAAACATATATAATGATCAATAAATAACAGAACTACTGTAGGTAGAGTAATCACAGAAGGTCTCTATGAGAAGGTACTATTTAACCTAAGGTCAAAGGAGAGTGACACTTTTAAAATTTTGATAATTTCCTTTTTATGTTCTGATTTTTTTATCTGACATTTATAATTAGGAAATTTTAATTCAGACACTACAATGTTTCATATAATTCCTTTTTAGAAGTTTTAGTTGATGGAATATGTCTTACATACCCAATTTTTTTTTCCCTGAGGCAGCATCTCACTCAGTCACCCAGGCTAGGGTACAGTGGCACTATCTTAGCTCACTGCAGCCTAGAACCCTTGGGCTCAAGTGGTCTTCCCGCCTCAGCCTCTGAAGTAGCTGGGAATACAAGTGCCTGCCACCCCCCAGCTAGTTTTTTTGTTTGTTTGTTTTTCATTTTTTTAAAGATGGGGGCTCACTATGTTACCAGGCTGTTGTTGAACTCCTGGTCTCTAGCAATCCTCCCACCTTGGCTTCCAGAGTTACTGGGATTACAGATGCGAGCCACTGTACCCTGTTTACTAAAATTTTAAAAAGTGATCCCACTAAATTCTATTTCAAGACAGTATGTGATTAGTTGTGAATTATGTGCCATTTTAGATTACAGGTTTGTGCCTGTAATCCCAGCAGATTCAGCAGGCTGAGGCAAGAGGATAGCTTGAAGCCAAGAGTTCGAAAGCAGCCTGGGCAACACAGGAAGATCCTGTCTCATAAATAAATACGTAAATAAATAAGTAAATAAATAAATAAATAAAAATAAAGTCAAATGTCTTTAAGTTATTTGAGTACATTTTGCCCATACCAAAATTCTTTTTTTTAATTTTATTGATACGTAGTAATTGAACATATTTATTGGGTAAGTGTGATATTTTCATACCTCCATATGAAAGGTATGTTCATCACACATTTCAATGTGTAATGATCAAATCAGGGTAATTAGGATATCTATCACCTCAAAAATCATTTCTTTGGTGGGAACATTTCAAATCTTCTAGCTATTTTGAAATATACAAAAAATTATTGTTAACTATAGTCACCCTATTGTGCTATTGAACTCTAGAACTTACTGCTTGTATCTTAACTGTATTTCATACCAGAGTTCTTTATTTGGGGTATATCTTTCCTTTTGTTCCTGTTTTGCTGTGACAGAAAGATAGGACTAGATTATATTAATATCTTCAGGGCTCATGTCATTTAGATTTCTTAGAAACTCTCAACTATAAACCATTCCAGATTTCTCTTATTAAAGTAACTACGGATCTTTTCCTAACGATTTTAACTGGGACATAAATAGTAAAGTCTTTATTTTTCTTGAATAGTCAATTATTTAATTTATTATTCACTCTTCTTCTTGGTTTTACTCTTACTCTGTAGAGGCATGAGATTCTAGTTATGACACTAACATTGATCCTAATATTCATGAACTGATCTCTAGCTTTCAGGATGCCAACCTGCCCCTGAAGGTTATTCCCCAACACTTCAGTGGCAGCAACAACAAGTAGCACAATTTTCAACTGTTCGACAAGTAAGTGTCAAATTTAATCAAATGAAGCCTCTGTCAGATTTATTTCTGTTCTGAGAATATAGTTGGAAAAATAAGATTTATGATTCTGAAGTATACAGAATCTTCTTGAATTACCAAATTATAATTATTAAACATAATATAGTTTGAAACATATTTTCCAAGTTTTAGATAGCTAGAATTTTTTGCAGAAACTAATTTCTTCTGTTTACCCATTCTCTGAAGAACACTGTCTAACTTTTCTTCCTTTAGAGTGTGAACAAACATAGAAGTCACTGGAAATCACAACAGTTGGATAGTAATGTGACTATGGTATGTAAGTTTCTCAGTTTAAGTTGTACAGTGTATACTTGTTTGAAATAGTACATTTACTTCCATTCTTTAAAGATTCACTTTCTTAGTTGATGTTATTTTTGTTTTCTTCCATATACCATTAATAGTAACAATTCCATTATATTAATTGCCTGTAAAGTATAGAATTAGTAGTGCAAATTGTTATTTTCATGATAATCTTAATCCGTAGTATCTTGGGAGACTTGGATACATGATTGTTAGGCCTCTGCAAATTTTTAAGGATTCTTCTAGACATTACTTTTTGGGAAATAAATACATTTTCACTATTGACAAAAAAATTGAACAAAGGCTTATTGTATTTCCCAGATGAGGTTATGGTGCATACAGTAAACCTACACTTTTACAGAATATCACCTCTGCTTCACAATACCAATGACATATTAGTGAAGCTTGTCATTCATACTGGAAAGTAGTATTTTCCTGCATTTTATCAATTTAGATACAATTTTAAGCTTTTTCATGCTTAAAACCCCAAATAAAAAAGGGAGGTAAGGAAGACAGGGCTACATTGTTCCAGAGCAGTAGTTTGTTTTTTTTGTTTTGTTTTTTAATGTAGAAACAGGGTCTTCCTATGTTGCCCAGACTGGTCTCAAACTCCTGGCCTCAAGCAGTCCTCCCGCCTCAACCTCCCAAAATGCAGGAGTTACAGGCCTGAGCCACTGTGCCCAGCCCAGGGCAGCAGTTTTTAACCTTTTAGGGAATCTCATATTCCTTCTGAGTATCTAATGAAAGCTATTTATCTTAAAAGGGGAAAAAAATGTTCCTATGTACAAAATTTTGCACATAGTTTCAGGTAGTTCATAGATTTCAGATTTTAGAAGTTTCCTGTAGGCAGTGCTGTCTAACATCTTTTACATGGTGACACATTGGGGTAAATGGCTGCTTGTATATTCCTGCTGAGATTATCAGCTGAAAGCTGAGAGATCAATATATGGCATCTCTGTGTGCTTCTGCATACCACTTGAAAGCTTTGCTCTGGGAGAAGTGTGAAGGGAACTAACTTATCATTTGCCCAAGGCTATTTAACTCATAAAAGGTATAGCTAGGATTTCAAAACCAAGTTTGTCTGACTCTAAAGCCTGTGTTCCTTTTACTATGCAGTGGTGCCTTCCTAGTAAGAAGATGGGGGCATGTAGGTATACTTTTTTCTTACTCAATGTGAGGACTTTTGGGTACATGCCCACTAATTCAAAAAGAAGCCACATCGGCCGGGCGCAGTGGCTCACGCCTGTAATCCTAGCCCTCTGGGAGGCCGAGGCGGGAGGATCGCTCAAGGTCAAGAGTTCAAGACCAGCCTAAGCAAGAGTGAGACCCCCATCTCTATTAAAAATGGAAAGAAATTGGTTGGACAACTAAAAATATATAGAAAAAATTAGCTGGGCTTGGTGGCACATGCCTGTAGTCCCAGCTACTCAGGAGGCTGAGGCACTAGGATTGCCTGAGCCCAGGAGTTTGAGGTTGCTGTGAGCTAGGCTGACGCCACGGCACTCTAGCCCAGGCAACAGAGCAAGACTCTCTCTAAAATAAATAAATAAATAAAAAATAAATGTTCATCATGGCAAATGTAAACATTATGTAAGTAATAAAATGAAAAAATTTAAAAACACTAATGGCTCCTATGTAAGTATTATAAATATGTGTTTATTGATTTATCCAATCATTTATTAAGCATATACAATATTTAATAGAGTATTCAGTGCTAACCAAAACAGAAGCAGCCTTTGACCTAATGAAATTACAGGAAAAGGTGGATACCTTGTTCCAGGACAACAGGTTTTTGTTCTTTTTTTTTTTTCTTTTCTTTTTTTTATTCCCGTTTGTTCTTGGAACCAATAGGACAACAGGTTTTAAACCTTTTAGAAGTCTCATGTTCATCATGAGAATCTAATGAAAGCTATTTGTCCTCAGGGAGTAAAAGTGCACCTATAAGTGTAGAGTAATTTGCAAGGCAGTATGTACAAATAAAATTTGTCTTGTTAAGGTGGTTATATTGGGCTGAATGCTTCTAACTGGTCCTGTTTTTTCTATCTGGCAACTTAGAATAAATCTATTCCTTCTCTGACTGTGTGTGTGTGTGTGTGTGTGTGTGTGTGTGTGTGTGTGTATATATATATATATATATATATACACATACATACAATATATAAAGTATGTAATCATTTCTCCTTCTCTGGGATAAACATTCTTCATTCTCGTGCATTTTTTCCCATATTGATTTCCATCTTTATCACCCTCTTTTGGTCACACCCTTGCTTGTCAGTGTCCATTAAAGTGTGGTCCAACTAAACATACCCCACATAGAGTGTAACCACTTACGTACTATGTTTGCTAGGGCTGCCATAACCGACTAGGTATCTTAAACAACACAAATTTATTTTTTCAGTGTCTTGAAGGCTGTAAGTCAAAGATGTCAACAGGGTTGGTTTCTTCTGAGTCTTTTCTCCTTAGCTTACAGATTGCCACCTTCTCCCTATGTTCTTACCTGATCTGTCTTCAGTGTGTTGGAGTCCCTGATGTCTATACATCCAAATTTCCTTTCATAAGGACACCAGTCAGACTGGATTAGGGCTCACTCTAATGACCTCATTTTAATGTAATCACCTCTTTAAAAACCTTATTTCCAAATACAGTCTCATTCTGAGGTACTGGAGTTTAGGGCTTTAAGATATGAATTTTGGGGACACAAAATTCTGTCCATAACTGGCACTGTATCTTTGAGTTGAAATGATGGGACTATGGAGGATCCGTAACTTCTTTTTATACTGTTCAGTATAAAAATAAGTACATAGAAATAAGTAAATTCATTTTTTTTCTTTCAGCCAAAATCTGAAGATGAAGAAGGCTGGAAAAAATTTTGTCTGGGTGAAAGGTTATGTGCTGAAGGGGCAATTGGGCCAGCTACAAATGAAAGTCCTGGAATCGATTATGTACAAGTAGGTGATATGTAGATTTTGGTGCATTACTTATCCTAAGAGATCAGCAAATATAACCCATGAGCTAAGAAAGATTTTTAGATTTTGTTTTCTTTGGGTTTTTTTTGTTTTGTTTTTAAGAGGCAGGGGTCTCTTCTGTGTGATGATCACCCCAAAAAACAAAAAGGAGCAGGAGTCTCTTTTTGTTGCCCAGGCTGGAGTGCAATGACACAATGATAGTTCACTGTAGCCTTAAACTCCTGGCATCAAGCGATCCATGCTGGACATTTTTTAGCTTTTTTCTTTTTTGGGAGACAGAGTCTTACTCTGTCACCCTGGCTAGAGTGCAGTGGCATCATCATAGCTTACTGCAACCTCAAATTCCCGGTTCAGGCGATCCTCCTGCCTCAGCCTCCCAGGTAGCTGGAACCACAGGCGCTCACCACGACACCTGGCTAATTTTTTCTATTTTTGGTAGAGACAGGTCTTTTGCTTGCTCAGGCTGGTCTCAAACTCCTGAACTCCTGAGCTCAGGTGATCCTCCCACCTTGGCCTCCCAGAGTGCTAGGATTACAGGCATGAGCCACCATGCCGGGCTGGTTTTTAGGTGTTTTAAGGATTGTAAAAAAATAAATAATATGTGACTAAGACTATATGTGGCATGCAAAGCCTACAATACTTACTGACTTTTGGTAGCCCCTGACTTAGTTTATTAGCTTTTTAACTTAAAAAGTGACAGCTCAGTTTCTGAACAATTTACTGTGACTTATTTTAAGTTGTCTTCATATCTTTTATGTTTAGCTGTGTAATAATTTTATGAATTAGATAGCATTCACTTTTTTGAAATGATGAGGCATTGGGCAAACAAGTTAGTAGTAGTCAGAGGAAAAAAGGAAAACAAGACACAATTAAAAAGGTGTTGTAAAATGCTTAGTAAATTGCTTAATCTGAAGATGAAATGTTGAGGATATATTTAAATTTCGCATGGCTCTAATCATAAATTATGTAGCCAACTCTTTGTCCTTTTGGATTCACTTGCCCCTGAGTTTGCAGATGTTCCTGTAGAACCCACTGCATACATCTACATTACTACTTTCTCCTTATATCGTGTTATTCTGTTCTGTTCAACAGGTATTTATTATTTGCTATATGGTGCCACATTGCATTTTTCCCGTTTAAAACTAATGTTTCCCCAAAATGCAAAGAGCTCCAAGAATCACTAAGAGATCAAGAACTACTCCCTGCACCCCCCACCAAAAAAAAAAAAAAAAAACCCCACAGGCAAAGAGTATAAATAGACATCTCACAGAACGGGAATACAAAATTGTTCTTATATGACAAGATGCCAGACCTCACTGTAATAGAAATATAACTTACGACTCTGCTGAGCTGCTATTTTTCAGATAACATATTGGCAAAGAAATTTTTCAAGGCCAGGCAAGGTGGCTCACACCTGTAATTCTAGCACTCTGGGAAACCAAGGCAGGAGGATCAGTTGAGGTCAGGAGTTCGAGACCACCCTGAGCAAAAGTGAGACCCATCTCTACTACAAATAGAAAAATTAGCCGGGTATGGTGGCCCATGCCTGTAATCCCAGTTACTTGGAGGCTGAGGCAGGTGAATCACTTGAGCCCAGGAGTTTGAGGTTGCTGTGAGCTAGGCTGAAGCCACAGCACTCTAGCCCAGGTGATAGAGCGAGACTCGGTCTGAAAAATTAAAAAAAAAAAGTTTTTAGCCATGCGTGCAGCGCCTATAGTCCCAGCTACTTGGGAGGCTGAGGCAGGAGGATCACTTGAGCCCAGGAGTTTGAAGTTGCATTCTGTTATGATTATGCCCCTGCGCTCTAGCCCAGGCAACAAAGTGAGACCTTGTCTCCGAAAAAAGAAAAAGAAAGTTTGATACACCATGTTGACAAGGCCTGGGAAAAGAGCCACTCTTACACATGGTGTAGGGAAGCTAATTTGGTACTTTCTTATACAACCTTTTGTTCTTTTTCTTTTGATCATATCCTTAATATATGCCACATTTTGAAAATATTTTTTAATTTAGTGAAGAATTAAAATGTATTAGCTTGTTATCACATAATATACACAAGTAAGATACACTATGTTAAAAAATAAAAACCCTTAAGGAAGCAAGAGTTTAATGCATATCCTCCTAAATTTCTCATAAGTCAGTGGTGTTTTCATAAGCAGGGCTCTCAGGATCAAACTCCAAAGGAGACTTTTTAAAATCAAATCAAATTATGTTTCAAAAATATCATTCTAATTGAAGTGCCCTTAATTCACTTTTTTTTTTTCCGAGACACAGTCTCGCTCTGTTGCCCCAGCTAAAGTGCAGTGGCGTCATCATAGCTCACTGCAACCTTAAACTGGGCTCAAGTAATCCTCCTGCCTCAGCCTCCTGAGTAGCTGGGACTACAGGCAATAGCCAGCTAATTTTTTCTATTTTTTTGGTAGAGATGGCATTTTGTTCTTGCTCAGGCTGGCCTCGAATTCCTGAGCTCAAGTGATCCTCCCACCTCAGCCTACCAGAGTGCTAGGATTACAGACATGAGCCACTGCCCCGAGCCCTAATTCTTGAAAGTGTTAGATTTAGCTGAAAATTTTGAAATGGTGTGTATAACATATTAATGTCATCTAATCAATATGTTATAGTTTTATTGAATGTGTTTGATAAGACGTTAACTGTTTCAAGTAGTATCATTTTTTAAAATTTCATACTTTTGACATTTTAGTTGCTAATATCATACTTTATTTTAAAATTTATATATTCAAATTTCAAGACATTATTTTCTTCAGCATTACCAACATAATTGTTCCTGAAATGTCTTGTTAGAATGGGCAATGGAAGAATTTTCTTTTATTTATTCTTTGTTACTAAACAACAGTGTGGTAGAAAATTCACCTGTTTGATAAAAAAAGAAGTCCCTCCTTATAATACCATTTAGTAAATTTCAGTCTTGTTTTTTCTTTCAGATTGGTTTTCCTCCCTTGCTTAGTATTGTTAGCAGAATGAATCAGGTAAAATTCATCTAATAATAAGATACATGCATTCTTTTGTTTGCAGTGTATGTGAAAGTATTTGAATACATTTACTGAATACTTACAGTATGCAAGACTTCGTCCTAAGCTCTTTAATGGTTCTTATTTAATCCTCACTATAACCCTATATTGGGAGTTATTATTAATACCCACCTTTTGTAGATAAAGAAACAAAATTTGAGTTTAAATATCTTGCACGTGGTTTTTCTACAAGTAAATAGCAGCGCTGGGATTCAATGAGTAGTAGATTTAACTCCAGGGCTCATACTCTTAATCATGATACTAGTGTATTTAATTGTGTACATTTCAGTTATAAGTCTTAGATTCTGGGGTTTGAACTAAATACAGACAGTCCTCAACTTATAGTGGTTTGACTTAGGATTTTTAAACTTTATGAGGGGTTTATTGGGATGTAACCTCATCATAGGTCGAGGAACATCTGTACTAAGGTTAGAATGCCATTTCTAGTTCTAGATGTCCTACATATTTCAATAATATTGAAATACATAATTTTTTGGATCAAAAAGGGAGAATTACGGAGTTTGGTTCTTCAGTCTTTTAGGAGTAGGGACTCTTCATTATCCATTTCAAAAGCAAATAAAAACTTTGTTTTGTTCTTCTGGAAAGAGACTTTAAAAAAATTAAAAAAATAAAAAGCTTTGTTTTGCCTTCATATAACATTGGGTACTTTAGAAGATAATATTTTTTTTGAGACTAATACTCTGTTGGAAATAACATACAGGCTGACGGTTTTACTTAATTATTTTCATTAAGATACTGTAGCAGTCACACTAAATTCCATCAGTATGATTTTTTTTGGTAAGCATCCAACCATGTGTGAATAAAGCAGAGAATATTTTCAAGACTTTGATAAATCCTATCTGTATAGCTTCAAAACAGATCTTTCTCTACCTAATTTTCTCTTTAGATTTACACTTTGATTTAATTTAAATTGGGAAATAAACTGAGGTTTTTATGCAAATACTCCTTTTTTTAACTGCATGTGAAGTTTTTTTTTTTTGAGACAGAGTCTTACTCTGTTGCCCGGAGTAGAGTGCCGTCGCGTCATCCTAGCTCACAGCAACCTCAAACTCCTGGGCTCAAGCAATCCTACTGCCTCAGCCTCTCGAGTAGCTGGGACTATAGACATGCGCCACCATGCCCGGCTAATTTTTTCTATATAGATTTTTAGTTGTCCAAATAATTTCTTTCTATTTTTAGTAGAGACGGGGTCTTGCTCTTGCTCAGGCTGGTCTCGAACTCCTGACCTTGAGCGATCCACCCGCCTCGGCCTCCCAAAGTGCTAGGATTACAGGCGTGAGTCACCACGCCCAGAGTAGAGACGGGGTCTTGCTCTTGCTCAGGCTGGTCTCGAACTCCTGACCTTGAGCGATCCACCCGCCTCAGCCTCCCAGAGTGCTAGGATTACAGGCGTGAGCCACCGCTCCCGGCCTGCATGTGAAGTTTTTTAAGTGTTTATAAACTAAACACTAGGATTTAAACCAAGGCATTAGTTGATATTTGAAAGTATAAAAATATTTGTTTTAAAAACCTCTTCTCACTGAATGAGCTGTCCAATCAAATTACTAATTAGAGTCACAGTTTTCTTTGAAAGTCTAGAGAATCGACCATTTTAAACATTAGAGTTATTTTCTAAGTTAACTTAATGAAACTCGTGTTGAACTCATGTTTTATTACTAATACAACTCTTCTTCCCTGCCACCCCCATCCCCATCCTTTTCTTTTAGGCAACAGTAACTAGTGTCTTGGAATATCTGAGCAATTGGTTTGGAGAAAGAGACTTTACTCCAGAATTGGTAGTATATTGCATCTTCTTATTTGCATAATGCAGGCAAAATTCTATATATAGTCATGCTTCACATAAAGATATTTTGGTCAATGTTAGGCTACATATACAACAGTGGTCCCATAAAATTATTACAGTGTATTTTTACTGTACCTTTTCTATGTTTAGATGTGTTTAGATACACAAATACTTACCATTGTGTTATGATTGCCTACAGTATTGAGTATAGTAATGTGCTATACAGGTTTTGTAGCCTAGGAGCAAACAGCTATACCATATAGCCTAGCCATATAATAGGTTGTACCACCTACATTTGTGTAAGTACACTCTGTTGTGTTTGCACAGGGATGAAATCACCTACAGATGCATTTCTCAGAACAGAACACATCCCCTTTGTTAAGCAACTCATTACTGGACTTATATATGAGTTGTGACTCTATAGTACTTATATATATGTATGTATACATATATGTATAACTATATGTATAATCCAAACTATACTTATTTGTAGTGAAATAAGGAAAATACACCAGAATGTAAATCAACATACTACTGCCTTCATTGAGAAAGTTTTGCTTTGAGAAAAAAAATGTCAGTAAAAGGGTTGATTTATATACTGATACAAGCACTTACCTTGTTGTAGACCAGTAACAAACAGATCACAGACTGGCAGCCACTCTGCAGACCCCGCTTTGAAAAGTTTGAAATGCATTTTTTTTAAGAGACCTGGTCTCGCTATGTTGCCCAGGCTGACCTCACTCCTGGGTGCAAGCAATCTTTCCACTTTAGCATTCTGAGTTGTTGGGACTACGGGCACAAAAGAATGTCAGAAATACTAATAGCAAGTACTACATGCCAGGCTTTTTTCTAAGGACTTGGGTGTAATAACTCATTGAACCCTCTGATAACCTATTCCCTGTTATAACTTCATTTTACAGATAAGGAAATAAACATACAAAGGGGTTCAGTAACTTGCCCAAGGTGACAGAGCTTGTAACTGGCAGAACTCAGACTCAAGCCCAGGCAATCTGGCTCTAGGATCCATAATCTTAACACCTATACTACATTGTTCCTTTATTTTATTGCTTTATAGTCACAGCTCATTTTTCACATTCAAACTGAATAAATTTGGTAGATATTATGTAAATGAGTTACCTGCTTAATCCTCCTAATTTGACTTTAAGAAATTTTACCTAAACTCTTCATGGTCCAGGGCTAAAAGAAAAAAAAAAGAAATTTTACCCTCCTTTGAAGTAGATTTAATTTTCAGAATATTTGCAAAGAGCGTATTTGAGGCTCCAAAACTCCCTGTCAAGACATAAGATATAATCCTTGCCCTCTAGAAGTTTCTAGTCTCCTGGGAGAGACAAAGAAACCAGCATTGCATTACAGTCTGTACGTTTCTCAGTCTACCTCAGCGAAATGTCTTAGGTAAGTCACTTCCATGA